CTTTACAAATTCAAGGACAATCAAGGCCTGGAATTTTATATTTCAAATTCAAGCACTTTTCAAGTTTTGTACAACCCTGTTCTGCCTTAAAGTTCATGCGCTATTTAGCATAATGTATAGCGTAACAATGCTTGGGGGGGAGGGGGGTGCTTCCCTGCCCACTCTGGTGTCCAGACTACCTTATGTATCATCTGTGCTAGATCTTTCGCTATGCATTCCAGCCCTCGCGCCGTAGAGACACCATGAAGTTAACTGTTTAATCCTATCATTATCCAATGAACCATCAGCACTCTCGATGTAATCCCGAAATCTTGGATCCATGTCGAACTCATCCAATCTACTAACGACCGTGTCATTGAAATTCTTTGATTCCAGTCCACTCAGCTTCACATTCCAGTACAAACGAATCCGGTTGTTGAACGTCACATACACCAAGCATGGACTGGTCTCATCTGGAGTTCGGGAGTAGGATCCTGCACAAAAAGCCGAGATATTCTGACCCAATTTGAAATTGACTATGTTCTCATATTGGTCCATTATGAAAGTTTCACCATTCCATGCGCAGAAAATCACTTCATCTTTTCCATCACCTAGAAATCATAAATGCGGGCGCATTATTAGCAATAGACATGTTATGTTCATCTCAAATGTGATGGTCCAGTGTAGATAATATTCTTTTATAATAAACTATCGTGGTTTGTGTCTGAACTACCTGAAAATGATCTTTCAAACGTGGTGGTCCAGTGTAGGTAGTATTTTACAATAAGCTGTCGTGGTTTGTGTCTGAACTACCTGAAAAAGATATCTCAAATGTGATGGTCCAGTGTAGATAATATTCTTTTATAATAAACTATCGTGGTTTGTGTCTGAACTACCTGAAAATGATCTTTCAAACGTGGTGGTCCAGTGTAGGTAGTATTTTACAATAAGCTGTCGTGGTTTGTGTCTGAACTACCTGAAAAAGATATCTCAAACGTGGTGGTCCAGTGTAGGTAGTATTCTACAATAAGCTGCCGTGGTTTGTGTCTGAACTACCTGAAAAAGATATCTCAAACGTGGTGGTCCAGTGTAGGTAGTATTCTGCAATAAGCTGTCGTGGTTTGTGTCTGAACTACCTGAAAAAGATATCTCAAACGTGGTGGTCCAGTGTAGGTAGTATTGTACAATAAGCTGTCGTGGTTTGTGTCTGAACTACCTGAAAAAGATATCTCAAACGTGGTGGTCCAGTGTAGGTAGTATTCTACAATAAGCTGTCGTGGTTTGTGTCTGAACTACCTGAAAAAGATATCTCAAACGTGGTGGTCCAGTGTGGGTAGTATTCTACAATAAGCAATCGTGGTTTGTGTCTGAACTACCTAAAAAAGATATCTCAAACGTGGTGGTCCAGTGTAGGTAGTATTCTACAATAAACTGTCGTGGTTTGTGTCTGAACTACCTGATAAAGATATCTCAAACGTGCCTTAATGGGTTTATAGCAATAACCAAAACTAATTTGTCTTCAATCTTGATTTCAGAGCAAAGACTACACTACACGTTTTCTTTCCCTCCAAGGGGGAGCAACTTTACTTGTATCTCATCCAGATCATGTCCACAAATTGATGCACCTCCCCAGTGCCCACCTGGATACAATGAAGTGCGGGAGAACTCGACCTGCGGGTTGTATTGTCGAGATATCGTGGGCTACACATGGCGCTGTCCGTGCAATGACTGGATGTCGTGTGCCGTGAAAGAGAGATACTTGTGGGGATGTGCCAGTGGCTACTACAGTAGCTTCAGAGTTCGCGAATGCTCGCAAGGTTTGTTTGTAGTGTGTTATCGACCGACCCACCAACCCACTGACTGACCGACCAACCCACCGACTGACCCACCAACCCACTGAATGACCGACCAACCCACCGACTGACCCACCAACCCACTGAATGACCGACCAACCCACCGACTGACTGACTGACCGACCGACCGACTGATCCACCGTCTGACCGTCCAACCCACTGACCGTCCAACTCACTGACTGACCGTCCAACCCACTGACTGATTGTCCAACCCACTGGCTAACTGACAAGCCAGCTGATGGACAAACAGACTAACTAACCAACATACAACCAGCCGACGGAACAACCAACCAATCCACTGGCTAACTGACAGGCCAGCTGATGGACCGCCTGACTGAATGACCAACGAACTGACTGGCCAGTCAACCTACCAACCTACCTACAGTCTTGCATCACTGACTGACAAAACACATTCATGTTTTAATAAGTAATCTGGACTTTGTTTATGAATGACTTTGCAACTTGCCTACGTTCATTTCTAGTTTTGAATACAAAGTGATGTGAGCTATATTTATTTTATCTTCTTCAGACGTAAGGCCTGGTCGCTGTCCTAACAATGGAAGCCAAGGATCTCAGAATTGTAACAGTGACGCAAATTGTCCGAATAGCGAAAAATGCTGTAACTCAAAGTGTACAAAACCCCTCTCACTAGGTAAGTATGATTCTACTTTGTGTCTTTGTTCTTACGGGATAGTTCTTCTGTCCATACAGCTCCTGTAATGTAAGGATCACCTTTTATTGATCCAGCGTTACTACAGAAGGAAAACTAAACTAACTTTATTTATACTTTAGATAGCTCTATCAATTCTAAACTGTTCTTCCTAGAGATCCTGCAAGGGTCATCTCTCATTGATCTAGTGTTACTACAGGAGGAAACCTAAACTAAACTAACATTATTAATACTGGATATCTCTATCAGTTCTAAACTGTTCTTCATAGCGATCCAGTAAGGATCATCTCTTATTGATTTAGTATTACTACAGGAGGAAACCTAAACTAAACTATACTTTATTAACACTAGATAGCTCTATCAGTTCTGAACTGTTTTTCCTAGAGATCCTGTTTTTCCTAGTGATCCAGTGTTACTACAGGAGGAAACCTGAACTAAACTAAATACTGAATAGTTCTATCAAGTTAAACAGCCCTTCATTCAATTTTATATTCAAATTATATCTAGACACTCATCCGTGCCGGCAAAACAACGGTGGTTGCGACCAGCTATGTTTTGGGGTACCTGGTGGACACAAATGTGGCTGCAAGAATGGCTTTTATTATGATGAAAGTCAATCTAAATGTGTCCTCGATACAAGACCTACAACCGTTCCACCATCATCATCACCATCACCACCTAGTCAAGGTAAGCTGAATTTTTGTTGAAGGATTTCGTTGATGGAAATTTCGTGTGTGAATTTTAAACGTACAATCATTTATTTGGGCCTAACCAGGAGGAATTCAATTGCGAAAAATGCAACTACAGGCCCTCTGGCAAGAATCGAACCTGATTGTTACCACAGGAGGAAACCTAAACTTAACTAACTTTATTTATACTAGATAGCTCTGTCAGTTCTAAACTGTTCTTCCTAGAGGTCCAGTAAGGATCATCTCTTATTGATCCAGTGTTACTACAGGAGGAAACCTAAACTAAACTAACTTTATTTATACTGGATAGCTCTATCAGTTCTAAACTGTTCTCCCTAGAGACCCAGTAAGGATCACCTCTTATTGATCTAGTGTTACTACAGGAGGAAACCTAAACTTAACTAACTTTATTTATACTAGATAGCTCTATCAGTTCTAAACTGTTCTTCCTAGAGGTCCAGTAAGGATCATCTCTTATTGATCCAGTGTTACTACAGGAGGAAACCTAAACTAAACTAACTTTATTTGTACTGGATAGCTCTATCAGTTCTAAACTGTTCTTCCTAGAGGTCCAGTAAGGATCATCTCTTATTGATCCAGTGTTACTACAGGAGGAAACCTAAACTAAACTAACTTTATTTAAACTGGATAGTTCTATCAGTTCTAAACTGTTCTTCCTAGAGGTCCAGTAAGGATCATCTCTTATTGATCCAGTGTTACTACAGGAGGAAACCTAAACTAAACTAACTTTATTTAAACTGGATAGTTCTATCAGTTCTAAACTGTTCTTCCTAGAGGTCCAGTAAGGATCATCTCTTATTGACCCAGTGTTACTACAGGAGGAAACCTAAACTTAACTAACTTTATTTATACTAGATAGCTTTATCAGTTCTAAACTGTTCTCCCTAAAGTTCCAGTGAGGATCAACTCTTATTGATCTAGTGTGATCTTTCATTGATCCAGGGATCATATTCATCTCTTATTAAGATCCAGTGATCTTATTCATCTCTTATTGATCCAGTGATCCAGGAAACCTAAACTAAACTAACTTTATTTATACTAGATAGCTCTATTAGTTTTAAACTGTTCTTCCTAGAGTTTACAGTAAGGAAATTCCGATCACTGGGCATGACTAGATGGCATTACGGCTTTTGAGGCCATCGTCAATAAACGAAATGGAATTTGTGTAATAAATTTATGTAACTTTGTTTAGGTTGCAGGCCACATCCAGCACCTGAGCACGGCTCGGTCACGTGTGATGGTGACCCTGTGCCACAGTGGGGAGAATGTAATTTCACATGTGACCCAGGGTACGAATTAATAGGATGGTCCTGGGATATATGTTATAATGGTAAATGGATTGATGATACACCGACATGCAATAGTAAGTGGTACTAAACTAATTCATACTGGATAACTCTATCTGTTCTAAACTGTTCTCCCTAGAGGTCCAGTAAGGATCATCTTTTGTTGACCCAGTGTTCTACAGAAGGAAACCTAAACTAAACTAACTTTATTTATACTGGATAACTCTATCAGTTCTAAATTGTTCTCCCTCCAATTTTTCTACAGGAGGAAGCCTAAATTAAACTAACTTTATTTATACTGGATAACTCTATCAGTTCTAAACTGTTCTCCCTAAAGATCGAGTATAAGGATTATTTCTTATTGATCCAGTGTTACTACAGAAGGAACCTAAACTAAACTAACTCTATCAGTTCTAAACTGTTTTCCCTAGAGGTCCAGTAAGGATCACCTCTTATTGTAGTCTTAAACTCCGCATAAAACCGGAAACACCCCTCTCATATTTTGTTCCTTGTGATGAACCACCATTTCTTTTTTCTTTTAGTAAGCACCAAACCGACATTCTCTCATTGTCCCAAAGATACATACGTTCCCACAGACCCAGGAAGAAGTTACGCAATGGTCCATTGGACAGTTCCTACAGCCACAGACAGTGATGGAGCGAATCTAACAGTTGTCATTACGCCCACTGCCTTTTCTCCCCCAGCGAAATTGGACATTGGATGGCACTATGTTTATTTAACCGCGTCGGACAAATTTGGAGAATATGTATATTGCTATTTTTATTTTATAGTCGAAGGTTAGTTTTCTTCATTGCGCTACGCCCAATTTGTGCTCGAGACTTGGCCAGCGAGTCGGTTGTTTGGTGAGTCAGTAAGCCCGTCTGCCCGTCCAGTAATGAGACTTCGGTGGCACAATTGTCAGCAAGCGGCTTTCACCTCTGAGATCGTGGGTTCGATTCTCGCTACGGACTCATGACACTCATGTGAAAAGAGTCAGTCAACGCTCTATCGAAAGTCGTGGGTTTTCTTCGGGTACTCCGGTTTCCTCCCACAGGAAATGTTGACAGGGTGGGTTGGGATTATCCCCCTAACTGACCCTTCCACCATAGCTGTGCTCCGTGATCAGACATGCCTCATAAGGTGCCTGCCAGGAGCGCCCTTGGAATGCCTTGAGCAGTTGGGCTTGATGAGGTTGAGCTGCGTCCCTCGTAATTCAGCTTGGCTCTCAGCTGCAACTGAGGATGATTAGCACACCCCACACTCCACTTATTTACTAAGTGCCTCGGATCAATGCATGATTCCAGCTATATAGACGAAATTTTGAACTAGACAAGGAGAACGAAATCCATTACCGTAGCTGGAAAGAACATCTTAAAATGAGTACAACTGCAAAGTTTGGTTGCGAGTTGTTGTAAAATGAGGAAGATACAAATTTTGAAAATATTTGCATTACGCAGGGGGAAGATAAGGTTATTTATACTGCGCGTAATACAAATATATACAAAATTTGCGAACTCCACAGGGCTTTCTTCATTTTACAACATTTAGCAACCAATCTTTGCAGTTTTACTCATTCTAAGACGCTCTTTCTAGTTGTGGTGTTGGATTTCGTTCTTCTTGCCTTGATCAAAATTTAGTCTATGGCTGCATGGAATCATCCATTAGGCGACACACCCGGTATAATCGAGTAGTGTCGGTTAACCGAGTCAAATCCGAGCCCGAGTCAAGTCCGAGCCCGAGTCAAATGTCCGAGTCATTGTTTAATCGATGGTCTTTGCAGTTCAATGACTTAGTACCCTAATCCTAACCATAATCCCACTCCTAACTTACCCTAACCCTATTCAACTGTGAATTTTATTCAATTTCGGAGTTTGTCGGTTACTGGCCGACTCAAATCTGAGGTTCGAGTCAAATGTCCGAGTCACTGTTTAACTTTCTTTGTCGATAAAATGACTTAGTACCCTAAACCTACTCCTAACCCTATTCGACTGTGAATTTTCTTCACTTTCGTCTTTTTTTTTACGCGACTCGGGCATTTGACTCGGGCTCGGGACTGACTCGGACTTGACTCGGTAAATGGATTTACTCCGGTATAATCGATTCCTGCCCGAGGGACTATAGTTGCATTTTTCCTAACAGCTCCTGGTTAGTTCAAATAAATAAATAAATATATATATACATTTTCACTCGATACTTTCTATGGTAATTATAATGAACTGATCAGTATACAGTAGGTTGGTGGCGAGCCCCGACACTAAATATTTATCATGATTATTTAACAATTATTCGCCGAAGGCGAGGTGATTATCGGTGATTATTTCATGATTGACTCGGTTTTCTTTGACGTACCGCGGGCTTTATCTACCATAAAGCCCTTGAATACCATAAAGCCTAATTAGTCCAGAAATAAGGGAGAAAACTAGAAAAATACTTGTCGAAATCGAAAAAAAAGAATAAAACTTTGTTAGAAAACCTCTTCAATCATGAAATAAGTCAGTTAAATACCTCGAATGTCGGGCTTTATGCTATATAAAGCCCTCGAACGCTTCGCGTTCTCGGGGCTGTATATAGCATAAAGCCCTCCTTCTCGGTATTTAACTCTCAGTACATAAAAACCGAGACAAAGTCGAGGTTTTTATTCACGATAATCTCCGAGCCTGAGGTGAATAATTGTTTTAGTATAATTTCATAGGTGATTATTTGGAAAAAATAAGAAAATACACATTTCTCCATCATTTAATTGACAAAAAGGCTTCGGCCGCCATTTTGAAAATCGCTTAGGTGATTATCGTGTAATAATCACCTCAACGGCAACCAATCAGCGTGGAGAATTTTCAATAATCACCTCTGTAATTATACTAATTATTATTATTACAGATCGAGAGCCGCCGAGCTTTGGTTCAAGCTGTCCAGATAACATCACATTATACACAGAAAATGATTTTGCTATCCGCTTGCCTTCTTCTATGAAGACGCCAGCAGCCACAGACAATGTAAAACCACCCAATGTTTATATTACGGGCTTTCCTTATGACTCGTTTTTCCGTGTTGGTACCACCATGGTCAATCATACTGCCGTTGATGCTGCAGGCTTGTCTGCAAGTTGTATTTATTTTGTCACTGTTGTCGGTAAGTAATGTATTGTTAGTATTATAACAAAGATTGGGGTCCAGTGTAGGTAGTATTCTATAATAAGCTGTCGTGGTTTGTGTCTGAACTACCTGAAAAAGATATCTCAAACGTGGTGGTCCAGTGTAGGTAGTATTCTACAATAAGCTGTCGTGGTTTGTGTCTGAACTACCTGAAAAAAGATATCTCAAACGTGGTGGTCTAGTGTTGGTAGTATTCTGCAATAAGCTGCCGTGGTTTGTGTGTGAACTACCTGAAAAAGATATATCGAACGTGGTGGTCCAGTGTAGGTAGTATTCTACAATAAGCTGCCGTGGTTTGTGTGTGAACTACCTGAAAAAGTTATCTCAAACATGGTGGTCCAGTGTAGGTAGTATTCTACAATAAGCTGCTGTCGTTTTTTCTGAACTACCTGAAAAGATATCTCAAACGTGCATGGTGGTCCAGTGTAGGTAGTATTCTACAATAAGCTGCTGTGGGTTTTTTCTGAACTACCTGAAAAAGATATCTCAAACGTGGTGGTCCAATGACCCAAGTTGACTTTAGTTTTTCTTAACACCAATTCAATTCTGACGTGTTTCCTTAAACCTCTTTCCAGACGTTTGCCTCGGTGTGTCGTGTACACACGGTTCGAAATGCGTCCTGGACACTACATCTGGGACCTCTCACATGTGTGCCTGCAACTCTATATGCCCGCAGAATCACGACCCTGTTTGCGGGTCAGATGGTCAGACTTACAGTAACGAATGTCTCATGAATGTGTCACGCTGTACGACGCAACGAGCAATCACGGTTGTCAGAAGAGGAAATTGCAGAGGAGGTAATTATTATTTTTGTCGCCTGCACCCAGCGTTCAGTGCTGTAGAACTGAAATTAGAGAGTTTGAGCAAGACAACGAATCCGGACGACGACGACGTGGTTGACATTTTTTGCCTGCCTTGCACATTACCTTGCGCATTCTGAGTTTAGGGTCAGGGGTGAAGACAGATTAGAGATTCATGTCTAGCTGTTTGTGAATGCTGACCCAATCGTTACCCTGATCAGGACAAAACAGTGAGACATGAATCCATATCCCGTCTTCGTTCTTCTGCCTTCGTTCACAACGAATATTTTGGCAAAATTCGTTGTGTACTTCGTTCCGAACGAAGGCAGAAGGACAAAGACGGGATATAGTTTCATGTCTCGCTGTTTCTTTTCTGGGTCAGGGCAAGAATTAGGGTCAGTATTCATAAACAGCGACACATGGGAAGACACGTTGTTGTCAAGTACGCCTTCGTCTTCGTTGTCTTGCTCAAACTTTCTATTCTAACAAGGGGGACTCTTGCAGGGACTTGGCCCCTCAAGTCGACATGAGATTTTAACAGCTGGAGAGGGGGGTCTACACCCCTGAGTCCGTTCTATGACATAGTGAGCTCTCTATATATAGATGAGTCATGTCTTCAGTCATTCGACCGATATGAGGAAATTGAAGCCAAGATGGCGGAACACCGCGGAAAAACGTCTGCGCATGCACCAAATTATGAAAATATGGCGGGGAATTTGAATATCAATTTCTAAAACAAAAACATGCTTATTAATTGGTCAAAAATTAGTAAAACAAGCGAGAAAATATGGCAAATGGGTAGACTAGATATTAATTGAAAGCGTCCTGGCATTTAAAGTATGGAATGAAATATAATTCATGTAAAAAATTGTTGATTTTAACGGACACGACTTCGAAAATTTTTGCAAAATTATTCAAAACAAAAATTCAAACTAAAAAGTTAAGAAAACTCTCGAAAAGTTAAGCTTCTTAATCCACTCAAATTGTAGAATAAATCCTAAAGTTTAATTATTGTGAACACGAAAATTTTTTATATTTGGCGACACAGTTTTTTTTAAAGAAATGTATCTCAAACGAAAATTCGGAAATTGTCGTTGCTTAGTTGATAAACAAAATGTTTCAGACGATAAATTTGTCAACAATCACCTTTAGTTGATGTTCTTGTACAATACAATTTCTTGAACCATCTGGCTGAATTTATTCCTAGTTTTTAGAATGACATGTTTATTTTTGCGCTCGAAATCTGGCTGTAAAGACGCACAATGAAGTCACTCCATTTTACCGCCATTTTGAGCCTTCGGAAACGTTCGGAACAGCTTCTCATCAAGTTCGCAATACTATTACAGGTAAGGTTGACGCATGCGTAGTCGTTTTTCTGCGGTGTTAGATGGCGGTAACTGAGGTCCAGTTCTTATATCGTCAGAACAAGCGCCATTCACCTTTGAAATTGTGGGTTCCATTCTCGGGAATGTTGACGGGGTGGGTTGGGATTATCCCCCTTACTGACCCTTCCACCGTAGCTGTTCTCCGTGATCAGACATGACTCATAATAAGGTGGCTGCCAGAGGCGCCCTTAGAAAGCCTTCGACTCGATCAGGTTGAGCTGCGTACTTCAGCAGTGCAGCTTAGCTATCAGCAAGGGTGGGTTGACTACAGAATATTTGTAGTTCGCTATATACTACAGCTACTTCAAAAATATGTAGTCAGCTACAACTACTGCTACTTATGAACAAAGGTAGTTCGCTACTACATGACTACAGTTATTGCTTAAAAAATGTAGCGAACTATTTCGCTACCCTATATTTTTTAGTTTTACTGTATTTGGAGTATCTACTAACTCGGGCTGTAATGTAACCTATAACAAATCGACTTACGAGTGGCAACAGTAAACACAAAGCAACATTTTTGTAAGCGCTACAGTGTTCAGGAGTGCAAATTGACTATTGAGGATCGATTTTAAGCAAACAATGTTTCAATATCATGCTATCCTATCAAGTTGCTAACAATTTTAAAAGTAGCGAATAGCGATTCGCTGTTTGAAAAGTAGTCAACTACTTGGCTACTTTTAGGCAAAATGTAGTTCGCTATAACTACAGCTACTTCGCTACTACCCACCCTTGGCTATCAGCTGCAAGTAAGGACGACTACTACATACTCTACTTACCTAATTATACATTATTTCAGACGAGGATTGCAACACAAAAACATGCACGAACGGAGAAACGTGTTCAGTTGTTGCGGGTAAAGCCCAGTGTTCGTGCATCTTTGCGTGTTCCGAGGTTAATGATCCAGTCTGTGGCTCTGACATAAAGACTTACAACAATGAATGCAAGATGCGTGCAACTGCTTGCAGAACAAAGACAAACATCACTCTTCATGTGAAGGGAAAATGCGGTTAGTTTGTTCACAGTTAGAAATAATTCAATTTTATACTGGATAGTGGTTAGTTCTATCAGTTCTAAACTGTTCTCCCTATAGGTCCAGTAAGGATCATCTCTTATTGATCCAGTGTTGCTACAAGAGGAAACCTAAACTAACTTAGTTAAGTTTTCTTAATTCTGGATAGCTCTATCAGTTCTAAACTGTTCTTCCTAGAGGTCCAGTAAGGATTATCTCTTATTGATCCAGTGTTACTACAGGAGGAAACCGAAACTAAACTAACTTTATTTATACTGGATAGCTCTATCAGTTCTAAACTGCTCTCCCTAGAAGTCCAGTATGGATGATTCGTTATTGGTCCAGTGTGAATACAAGATGAAACCTAATCTAAACTAACTTTTAGGACAGCTTTATCAGTTTTTAGGGTCATCCCTTATTGGTTCACCGTTTGTCCAGCTTTCATTTAATAATCCCATTCAATTCAGCAAGACAAAATGATCCATGCAGGCTAGTCCCATTTGTCGAACTTGTCCCAATAGGCTGATTAACACTATCAACGTTTCTGTGATCACAGTAGGAATTTTGCATCGGTAAATTCTACGTTTTGAAAGATTTCTAAGAAATCTTTGAGGGAACTGATTTGGTGTTTAACAGTGTAACAGTTCCCTCAAGCATTTCTTACAAATCCTTCAAGACGTAGAATTTACGTATGCAATATTCCTATTGTGATCACAGAAACTTTGATACTGTAGTGTGAACCAGTCTTATGATTTGGTCACAAGAGTTACCCAAATCATACAAACCAGGCTTTACCATGATGATATAAGAAAACATGACATTTATTTTTACACTTTCTCTTTCAGACGACTGCAAACCATTGAGATGTGAGTATGGATCAACATGCGAGGTTGTGAATGGCGAAGCAAAATGTGAATGTGATTTCCCATGTTCTGGTAGCTCGACTCAAGTTTGTGGCTCAGATGGAGTAACTTATGCACATAAATGCGCCTTGCAGAAAGAACAATGCGCTGAGCGGAGAGTGATCAGTGTCATTAAGGATGGACCATGCGGTAAGTTGGTTATGTAATCCATGAGATTAAAACTCATTCAGACGAGACTGGGCGTATTTGGAAACATACGCAGATTGTCGGATGTGTTTACATGGGATTTCGTACAGGATTTCATGCGTTTACAAGGCTCAACCCTAAATGTGCTGTGCTGTGCTGCGCTGCGCTGTGCTGCGCTGTGCTGCGCTGTGCTGCGCTGTGCTGCGCTGCGCTGTGCTGTGCTGCGCTGCGCTGTGCTGCGCTTTGTGGCTGGACTGTGCTGTGCTGTGCCGCGCTGTACTGTACTGTACTGTACTGTACTGTACTGTACTGTACTGTACTGTACTGTACTGTACTGTACTGTACTGTACTGTACTGTACTGTAATGTACTGTAATGTACTGTACTGTACTGTACTGTACTGTACTGTACTGTACTGTACTGTACTGTACTGTACTGTACTGTACTGTACTGTACTGTACTGTTAAAACTACATAATTATTACATATTTAAGAGTATTTACATTTCTAAAAACGTACTTATTTACTGTTTATCTTTAAAATACTTTGAGGCAAAAACGAATTCTTAAAACGTTCAGTTCTACAAACATAATTATGATATTTACATATTGGTCTTAGATCGTATCCAGATAAAATTGTTTGTGGTAAAAGATCTTTGAGTTTTTCATTGTCGATATTCTTCTCAAAGAAATGTTCGCATAACCTTTCACGGCGATCCCTCAGCGACGTGATGTTGGTCGTCATCTTGTCAACAATATTGAACAGTATTATTGAGCCTGAATCGGGTGTAACAATATTGTTCAATATTGTTGACAACTGTGAACAATGTGGGCATTGTTCAAGCCTGTTTTCATCAACCATTGCAACAACCTGATCGTTTTTAGCCGTGTACCATATTGTACTTACGTCCACTGCACCGTACTCCAAATAATGTATTGTACTGCACAGCACGTCCTCGATGTCAATATTAGAAGAACATTTCCCTTTGCTTTTCAAAGTTACATCTATGCTATTTCTTCAATGATATGTAGGCTGTCCTGAGTTGCTCCTGGAAGCAGAGGATTTCAAAAAATCAAGCAAAATAGCGTGTGATAGCTCCCTGAAATGTAAAATAACATGCAAGGATAACTACAATGCAGCGATTCCAGATTTCCTAGTGTTACAATGTTATAACAATAAATGGATACGCCAAAACAGTGTTGAAAAATATGTCACCCTTGCGGACGTGAATCCTCCAAGATGCTACAGTAAGTTCAAGAAGAGTTTCTATTATAATCTTGCTGTATGAAGAGAGCTCCCAGCTTGATTCAACAAAACAAGTTTGTCCAGTTATACTAGTTTCCTCCTGTACAAGGAGGACAGGTTGGAACTGATAGAGCTATCCAGCATAAATAAAGTTAGTTTAGTTTAGGTTTCTTCCTGTAGTAACACTGGATCAATAAGAGATATCCTTACTGAACCTCTATAGGGAGAACAGTTTAGAACTGATAGAGCTGTCCAGCATATATAAAGTTAGTTTAGTTTAGATTTCCTCCTGTAGTAACACTGGATCAATAAGAGATGATCCTTACTGGACCTCTAGGCAGAATAGTTCAGAACTGATAGAGCTATCCATGCAGTATAAATAAAGTTAGTTTAGTTTAGGTTTCTTCCTATAGTAACACTGGATCAATAAGAGATGATCCTTACTGGACCTTTAGGAAGGACAGTTTAGAACTGATAGAGCGTATTCAGTATAAATAAAGTTAGTTTGGTTTATTACCTCTTGTCAGTGGTAATACTGGATCAATAAGAGCTAATCTTTACTTGACTTCCAGGGGGAACAGTTTAGAACTGATGTCTAGTATATACATCGTTTTCTAAAGTATTGTCTACTATTAATATTAACTTATTTAAATATTCGTTTTTCAGTGTCAAACAATCCAACAGGTTCAGACTGTCCAAGCGGTTCTATGTTGACGTACAGAGGCAAATGTGGTAATTAACTCCTATAATAAAACAATAACTAAGCATTAAAAAACTTTTATGTCTATGTAATTGTACAATTCTTCTAGTTTACAGAAGCATAGAATGGCACAATAATAACTAAGCATTAGATAACTACACACCTAGTTATCGTTGTTCTAATTCACAGTAAACTAGAACAGTGCCACCGCTTATCCCTACTAACGCCAGTTTTCTATTTCAATCGTAACGTAACGTAATAATAAATAATAATAATACAGTTTTAGGAGCATCCTACAGAGTCTCGATGCTCTTACAAGGATCAAATCTTATAATTTATATTATATTATATTATATTATATTATATTATATTATATTACATGTATGCAATTACTGAAATATATAAAAACTTGCTATCTAGTCAAAGTATTTCCTAAAAAGATGTGTCTTTACTAAGCCTTTAAAAATACTTAATGAACTTGAGAGACGAATATAATCAGGTAGAGAGTTCCACAGCTTAGGAGCACTCACTTGGAATGCTCTCTCACCATACGTCTTAGTGTTTGATTGCGGAACAGCTTGTAAATTCTGTGATGTTGATCTCAAAGTACGTTTAGGCTTATAAACGTCTAAAAGTTCTGTTATACAGGGTGTATCAAAAAAAACTGAACAGATTTGAAATTGCTCTCAATTTCGCACCGATTTGTATCCGGTTTTTTATAGATATAGCTTCGTTGGGTACTTATAATGTAGAATAATGAAAAAAATTTCTTGAACTCAAATATTGTGAACCAGGGGGGTGTGTCTTTTCCAACAAAATAAAAATGGCTTGCGCACAAAATTTAAAAGCTGTAATCATATTTTGAGTTAATAGATGGAAAATTTGTCGGGTTTTTAATTACTGTACAAAATTTCAGACAATTTGGTTTAGGTTAAGCCGTTTAACTATTCACGCAAAGTTACATTTTTCCTAAAAATCAGCTATTTGCATGCTTAATTAATGCATTTGCCTAATTTGCATATGTTAGCAATATGCAAATTAGGTAAATGCATTAATTAAGCATGCGAAAGGCTGATTTTTTAGAATAAAATGAATAGTTAAGCGGCTTAAACTAAACCAAATTGTCTGAAATTTTGTACACTGGGTAATCAAAAACCAAACAAAGTTTCCATCTATTAACTCAAAATATGATTAAAGCTTTTAAATTTTGTGCGCAAGCCATTTTTAGTTTGTTGGAAAAGACACCCCCCCCCTGGTTTACCAAATTTGAGTTTGAGAATTTTTTTTCATTATTCTACATTATAAGTACCCAAAGAAGCTATATATATAAAAAACGGGATACAAATAGGTGTTTTGCGAAATTGAGAGCGATTTCAAATCTGTTCAGTTTTTTTTTATACACCCTGTATAGTCCGGTGCTTGGTTATTAAGGGCCTTGTAAGTAATAAGCAGAATCTTAAAATCTATTCTGGCCCTTATAGGCAGCCAATGAAGTTGTTTCAATATCGGGGTGACGTGATCATATTTCTTTCCTCCGACTACAAGTCTTGCAGCAGCGTTCTGTATACGTTGTAGTTTGTCAATTTCTACAGCTAGTAGCCCAAACAGAATACCGTAGAAAATGCTACCATTTTCTTTTGTGTCGAAGTTATTAGTTCCACTCTAGTGCTCAGGAAACAAAGAAATACGCTACGTTTCGGTACGATACGATTGAAGTGGAAAACTGGCTGTCAACCTCTGTCAAATGTAACCATGCATTAATATATATTACCAAATCTATTTTCCTCTCTAGTGCCATGCCCCCCAGGCAGTTCGTATGACGCAAGTAAAAAATCATGTGTGCCGTGTAAAGTGACGATGTACCAGGAGGAGTCTGGAAAAACCTCGTGCAAGAAATGTTCATCAGGAAAGACCTCTACAACCACAGGAGCTGAGAACTGCTACTTTGATCATGGTATAATTTTTTTTTTTTAATTTTTTTATTTTTTATTTTCCCATGTATAAAAATCTACTTAAAATATATTACAATAATTTGAAGATGTTGGGCTAGAGACCTACTAGAAATCTTCATAGACTTTTTATTTTAGGTCTCTAGTATTATGAATATTTATAATTTTTGGAAGCAAAAGTTGCAGATACGGCTAGCACTTTGCCTCCCCCCCCCCCCTGAGTTAATCCTGGTACGGTAGGTCGAGGAATTACGGGAACCACTGAGTATTTTGATAAAATACAAAACAATAGATACTCCGAAAATTGAAAGCATTTTGAAAAATTTAATGACGAAGTTAATAACATTAAATGTTCAGTAACAGATTTAATATTTACTAACACTAAGATAATAGATAAATCCGATCACTGGTCGTTGATACTTTATCAAGAGTCTATTGCTATTAATAGAATGAAACCGTCCCTAAACCATGGAACTAAAGCCTCTAAAGATCTGTTAATATTTAACTAATCGTATCTTGTTACTTCACTATATATACTTGTACATATGCAATATCATAATCATTCATTTCCTGATGATGACTATAGTTTAGTCGAAACGTCGAAATAAATTTTTCAAAATGCTTTTAATTTTCGGAGTATCTATTGTTTTGTAGGTCGAGGATTGGGTATATTTACTTAGGGTGGTGTTAGACTTGGTTAGCGTAATATATTTACACAGTTTCTTTACTGTTTATTGCTAGGCAAAAATGCTGTCGAAATGACGTTTGGGAAAAAACGATCTGAAGTAAGTAGAAAAGTTAATATGAATTATCATATACTGTTATTCAGGATAAAAGAAGTTAGTTAGTTGGTTTAGGTTTCTTCCTGTAGTAACAATGGATCAATAAGAGATGATTCTTACTAGACCTCTAGGAAGAACAGTTTAGAACTGATAGAGCTATCCAGTATAAGTAAAGTTAGTTTAGTTTAGGTTTCCTCCTGTAGTAACACTGGATCAATAAGAGATGATCCTTACTAGATCTCTAGGAAGAACAGTTTAGAACTGATAGAGCTATCCAGTATAAAGAAAGTTAGTTTAGTTTAGGTTTCCTCCTGTAGTAACACTGGATCAATAAGAGATGGTCTTTACTGAACCTGTAGGAAGAACAGTTTAGAACTGATAGAGCTATCCAGTATAAATAAAGTTAGTTTAGTTTATAGGTTTCCTCCTGTAGTAACACTGGATCAATAAGAGATGATCCTTACTAGATCTCTAGGAAGAACAGTTTAGAACTGATAGAGTTATTCAGCATAAATAAAGTTAGTTTATAGTTTAGGTTTCCTACTGTAGTAACACTGGATCAATAAGAGATGATCCTTACTGGACCTCTAGGAAGAACAGTATAGAACTGATAGAGTTATTCAGTATAAATTAAGTTAGTTTAGTTTAGGTTTCCTCCTGTAGTAACACTGGATCAATAAGAGATGATCCTTACTGGACCTGTAGGAAGAACAGTGTAGAACTGATAGAGCTATCTAGTATAAATTATAAAGTTAGTTTAGTTTAGGTTTCTTCCTGTATAGTAACACTAAATTAATATGAGATATATCTTACTGGACCTCTAGGGAGAACAGTTTAGAACTGATCACAGCTATCCAGCATAATATACTCATAGAAAAACTGTGTAATATAATCATGGTATAATATTTTCTTTATCTAAATTAAGGTTACTGAAGACAAAATTCGCAATGATATTGCCGATGGCTTGACAATCATTTGCAAGACAACAAACTGTAGTTTTGATGATAACACAGCCAGGTACGGTTCGTATCGTTAAACAAGTTATCAATGGACCGATACCCCAATTAACCAAAATTTTGAATTCAACAAGTCTAGACAAAAATTTCATCACAGCTTGAAAGAACATCACAAAATTAGTAATATTCCAAAGTTTCGTTTTAAAATGTTGTAAAATGCGGATAATATAGCCTTGCGAAGTTTGCAATTTTCAGTCATTTCAGATTACAAACGGGAAATGGTTACCACTTCCTTGAAATTACAAACTTCGCAAGGCTATATATTATCCGCATTTTACAACATTTCGCAACGAAACTTTGGAATATTTCTAATTTTGTGATGCTCTTTCATGCTGTGATGAAATTTTGTCTAGACTTGTTGAGTTCAAATTTTGGTTAATTGGGGATTGGTCCATTTTTGAAAACCATATAGTATTCTTTAATTAAATCAAGGATTTCTCGATTTCTCACTCCAAATGTATATGAAGTTCATTTAACACAGTTACTTAAGGTGGCGACACCAATATTCGATGTTCAAAGGATGGAAATTATGGCCGATTCAGACTACACAACTTTTTCCTAAAACTGTCGCATGCAACCTGCTTACAACTTGAGCTGTACTGTGTAAATCAAGCACACAACTCGCCTGAGACAACGTAGACAAGTTTTGTCCTTGATTTACACAGTACAACTCATGTTGTAAGCAGATTGCATGAGACAGTTTTAGGCGAAAGTTGTGTAAAGCTACGTTTACACGCTGCGATTTGTCGGGCCGATTTTGGTAAATAATCGATGCCCCTTCTTCGACATTTAGCGATTTAAACGTTCAATTCAAGCTGTCCGCTCTCTCGTCTGTTTATATTATAGTTTTCTGCGTGCGAAAAGTTTTCAACAATTTTACAACGGAAGAAAAATCGTTGAATCGTGAGAAAAATCTGTGTTTTGTTACAGATTTTTCTCCCGATTTTGTGAATCGCAAGGTGCTGACGCGAGTACTCACGACAGGTTATTTACATACAGCGAGCAAAATCGGCCCGACAAATCGCAGCGTGTAAACGTACCTTTTAACGGGTTTTTTAGTCATTTACGAAAGAATGCCGAACTAAAAAATGTTGCAAAAACCTGGCAGGGAGCTGAGGGAGGGGGATGTCCTGAATTTGAAAGAATAATCTGTGATGATTGACTATTTTTCTTTTGCAGTCGTAAAAGACGCGAAGCAGACAACTATAAGTTCCTAGCCACACATATTATCGTACTGAAGGTGGTGGACAGCTCAAATAGCGTCGACACAGTGGTTGAAATTTTTGTCCTCGACCCTACCTCGACCTCTCCTCTACCAGATAAAGCATTCTCCTCCGAAAATCTCAAGAACTTGGTTGTGATAATGCAACAAAGAGGCGGCCTTTTGCCATATACACTGAAGTCTGTAGACAAGGTGAACCCTCCACAAGCCAGTAGTAAAAAAGAGCCCACTTCAAAGGCACCGGTCATCGCTGGAGTCATAATTGCTGTTCTTGTACTCATTGGTCTCGTCTTTGCCATCTTGATGTATATTCGACGCCGCAAGAATAAAAAGTAATTTTCTCTCATTTTCAACTTTGAGATATGTTATGGCATGGATAATAAAATAAATGGATAGGAAACTAGCTGACGTGATCTAATGTTTTCAATGGGCTGATGGCGTGGTTGGATGTTGAAACCTAGTTGCAAACCAAATTCTCAAAAACGGCATGTTTAGCAATAATACAGCTAAACATTTTAGTCAAAGAGCAAATAAATATGACTACGCCATTCTACGATGAAATCTCTAAGTATTCCCAGTCAATTTTAGCAAATATTAGCACTAAACAGTGAAAAATGCATCGCAAATTTCGTTAAAATTGGGGACGCCAATTTCGTAGCTACAAATGTAAAAAAATACAATACAAAGACGAAAAACATTTACCTTGAATACTTTGTCGTGGCTTAGGCATGTTTTTAAAACAATTAGACCAGTTTATGCTTCAATATTACTCTTTTAAAGCAGAAAATATAGCGAAAACTTTGCAATACGCGTGGCGTCACGGATTGCAACCAGGTTGTTTTTGCTTACGTCAGCTAGAGTCCTATCCATTTATTTTATTATCCATGGTTATAGTAAACAATGGTCCGTGAAACACCTTCCAAATCGAATCCTATAAATTGCATTTCAAACGTACCATTTTTGCGCGCAAACCATTCCTAAAGGCCGTTTTCCACACTAGGCGGAATTTTCCGCGCGGAGCGGAATTTATCTTTGTCTTGTGATTTCTCGGGTGGAACCAGCCTAGACACTAGGCTTTTTCCGGCGCGGCCGTCTCATTTTATGACGTCACAGAGATGTCCAGTCTTCTTGCGTTAAAATGGAGAGTAAAAATCGGAAGGCATAGTGTCTAGGCTGGGGTGGAACTAATTGGAAAAGACAAAGAGGAATTCCTCTCCGCGCGCAAAATTCTGCCTGGTGGAAAAGGCCTTTAAGTGGTTTTGAAACCAATCTCAAATGTTGTATGACGGAACTTTCTCTAAGCCGCATTTTAGTAATTCTGTATTTGAATAAATTAGACCATATAGGCTCAGTACAAAAAGATTATTTTAATAACTACGTTTCGGAGTATAACTCCATCTTCAGGTTAAAAAGTAACTAAAGATATAAAACTTTAAAAACAATTACAATTTTAGACAAAATCCGTTAGGATTGCGTATAATAGCTGACGTGCGCTTCAAACTAATCCGTGTCCGTGCGCGCGCTTAATTTTTTGTCCATGGCGTGTCCGTGAGAGCGTTAAAATTTCGTGTCCGTGCTTGCATATGTAATTACATTAAACTATATACAAAATCCCTTAACTTCCTGCAGCTCATTCTTTGAGTTCAGGTCAGGTTGCATTCTTTCAATGTAGAATGCCTCTGACCTTTCTTTCCAATGTTCCTTTTGTTTTCTTCAACATCGATGGAATAAGCTTAGGGAATTGACCCGAGTGTAACTGTTTGTAGTGTTTCGAGAATGCCATACGTTGGTAAGATTTCGCATCGGGATTTCTCGCAGAGCGAAGATGTTCATTGAACCTCACAGCGAATGGTCGGCATGGAATTTACGTGGGAGAAACCGGGAGCAGACGAGTTTAATATGAATCCGGGAGCAGACGAGTTTCCCGTCCGAACTTTCCCGTCTAACTTACCCGTCTAAACAGACGGGAAAGTTAGACGGGAATCTCATCTAGACGGGAAACTCGTCTTAAATTCGAATTTACCCGTCCCTAAATTCATATTCAGACGGGTTTTCGCAGCGAGCAACGCCATCAATTGCCATCACTAGGTAATAAAGATTACTGTTTTAACCGTTTTTAAATGCCACAGGTCCAAATAATGGGTCATCGCAACAGGAAGACACAACGTAAAAAACAAAAGCGTAAAATATTTGCACAATAATTGCAGAATATGCAGCGTACACTTTGAGCACAGAGTAGAGACATACAGAGACGTAACTAGTGTACCCACTTTTTTTGTGCGCATGCTCGGCAAGTTACTAGATGCATGCATCTGATTGGATGACGACCTGATGACGACTCACTTTAAACTTGCTGAGCACGCGCAGTTGATCATTTTTCGCCCGGTCGCCTGAAAAAAAGTGGGTACATGATAACGTAATCTTCCGCAGTGTTTACAATGGTCAGTTACATCTCTGTATGTCTTATCTACTCTGTGCTTTGAGCATGTTTTTCGAATTTCAAGAAAAACCGTTGATTTGAGGAATTGACGCTGACGAACGCTGACGTGATGTTCGCAGCAAGTGTCACACACGTCATCTAGCGTGCAAAATTCGTGATCCGCAAGGCAAAAATCGCGGACACGAAAATGTTAAGGAAAGGTGTACAGTGAGGCTTCTGGTCTATTATATCACAGAGTAGATACACAACCAGAAGTGTCACTCAGACGATAATTTGTCCGAAATTTTACGAGTGCTGACGTGAAAATACGCCATCATATGACGCCATCCTGGAGTGCACACGGAAGTTTTTCATAGGAAAACATAGGTACAAAGTGCCGTGTGCACTCCAGGATGGCGTCATTGCACGTAAAAAAATTTCGGACGTTTTCCTTCAGTCAAAACACATAGAAGTGTCCCTTCTGGTCCGGTATCTATTCTGTGATTATATATTCTATGGTTTGAAGCGCACGTCAGCTATTATACGCAATCCTAACGGATTTTGTCTAAAATTGTAATTGTTTTTAAAGTTTTATATCTTTAGTTACTTTTTAACCTGAAGATGGAGTTATACTCCGAAACGTAGTTATTAAAATAATCTTTTTGTACTGAGCCTATATGGTCTAAGTTATTCAAATACAGAATCTCAAATGTGTTTTACCGAATTCTTCTGTTTACAGTCCGGCTCCTCCAGTCCAGTTCAACAGTGCTGGCGACGGTGGAATGCACATTGGACAGCCAGCTCCTGCTGTCTCGAATCCTCAATATGAAAATCCCGAAGCAATTCGCGACGGTCTTCAACACGGCTTTGTTAACCAAGGTAAACAATGCATTTATTAATACTACTACTACTACTGTCATAAATTATTTCCTTAGACTTAGTAAAATATTCCTGCTTGAGGGCAGCCACCTACTTTCTCACAACAGCCAATGAAAAAAAATGAAAACCCTGGATACTTGATGAGAAAAATGAGCTTAAATTTTATGCACGGTTATGTTTTCATTTGTGTGCTTTTCATGAATCATTACAATCTTTTTACAGTATACAACGACGTCCACGCACCCCCACCGTATTACGAGAGCTCCCCTGTGCATAAACCCGCCGTTTATGAGACCCCTCCCCCTCACGTCTATGAAAGACCCGACGGGGAACAGGCGGGGGCATTGCCCGCCAAGGATAAGCTGCCTGATGATGCCGTGGTCGACATCATCCCCCCGAAACAGGTAGCTCTTGAGAAGCCTGTAAAAGCGGACTCCCCCATGAAGTTCTTCCATAAACGCGGGACCATACCTAATGCGTACGAGGTGCCTGACATACGCGGAGCTCAGCGTTCCGCTACTCCAGAGGACGAAGCTGATATGAAGTGAGTATAGTTGGTTTTGCGTTTTGTTTAAGGTTACAGAACACCTTTGATTGTTAATTTTGTCTAAATTTTTTTTATTGGTTTCCATGAAAGCATTAGACTGGTTCTACTATCTGACCAAGTTTGAACGAAAAATGTTGAAAACTCGCAGAGTTATTTAATAAAATACATTTCGCTGTAATAAGAAAAACATTGAAAATGTAATATTCAAATTCAATTTTCTCCCGAAGAATTTTACGGCAATTACTGATTTTCAAACGAGTTGTTCTCCTGCGGGTTTTAACGAATTTTTCTCAAATTTTCACCGGACATAGCTACATTGTGTTCGGCTTTTTTCTAATTTTGGATATTTTAATAATAACGAGCAATTCACTCAAACGATTCAGAAATATATTGCAGTCGTCAAAGAAATTGCCATATCAGCGGAATGACGAAATAAACAAAAATTTCCGAACACAATTTTTTAGAACAACTATTTTACTGTACAAAAATTATATTTTCATTAATATATCTTAAAACCAGCAGGAACATAACTCAAAAGCGTAAAGGTACCGCGATTTAAGATTTTCCTGAATAATTCTTATATTATTTCATTGTTTGTCAATTTTACAACTTTACCATATTTTGCATGCACTGGAGAACATTTGGTGAAAATTTGACGAAAATCGGACTGATATTGAGCGCGCAGTAGCGATTTTCCGCAAAACGCCCAAAAGGGTGTCCTGTAACCTTAAATGGATGCGTGCTGAAGGCCAATTTAGACTACACAACTTTTGCCTAAAACTGTCGCATGCAACCTGCTTACAACTTGAGTTGTACTGTGTAAATCAAACACACTAAGTACACATTGAGTACTGAGTTTGTACTAGCGCAAGTACGCGGCAACAACCATTGGCGTACCAGTCAGGTACGACTAGAAATCTTGAATGATCGCACCCTGTATCCAGTATAAATGCAGTTACTTAAACTAGATCTTCTAAATATTTCCCAGATTGGAACCACCACCGAAATTCGACGATGCTAAACTTCAAGTGATACGAGAGAAGACAGCCTCCTCTATTTTGCCAAATGTCCCTCGAAAGAAAAAAGTTAATCCCATGGATGGCAACGCTAACGAGACCACAGGAGGCGAAGGAGCATCCCATTACCAGAATGTCGGCAACGTCACGGATGAGCAAAGCGAAACTTAGGATGTTCGCGTAATACATTCCTGTATTAACTTGATTCGATAGATAATGTAGTTAAGTTTTGACTTGTAATCCGCCACTTTGTACATGAAATGTACGTGATTAGCACGTGTACTCTGCAAAATATTCCTGAGTATTTTGGCCCAAGAATTTGAATACCAGTGACTCAGAAGTTTTAGGAGAAAAACTTATGAGCAATTATGAGCGCATTACAATTTACTTGTTTAGTAAAGTTTCAAAGTTTTTCGAGTGAAGATTTAGTTTACTCAAAAATGAGTAAATGGGTTCATTAATATTTTACGCGATTTTATTTCAAGAGTATTTTGCAGTGTAATAAGTATCGTATGACTTGCACATGTGTAATGTATCATACCCCATGATTTTCATTTTTACCATGTATTCATAACTCATAAAGTTGATTTTTTTTAACTGTAATGCCATAAATAATAGACAATAGTCACAAATAGCAGTTGTCTTGTAACTTGTTACAAAGTTGTTCCAGCAAGCTGATATCAAGTTGTGTTGTTCATCAAAGCTTTCACAAGGTTCACCGTCAGTCGCTTTGTGTAGTACTTGAAATATCAATCAATGGGCCTATTACCTAATAACCAAAATTTTGATCTCAACAAGTCTAGACAAAAATTTCACCACAGCTTGAAAGAGCATCACAAAATTAGTACTATTTCAAAGTTTCGTTGCGAAGTTTGCCGTTTTTCAATCATTTTGTTTACGCATGGGAAATTGGTTCCGCTTTCTGAGAAAAGGTATCAATTTCCCGTGCTTGATACAATGACTGAAAAACGGCAAACTTCGCAGGGTTATATTATCCGCATTTTACAACATTTTGCAACGAAACTTCGGAATATTACTAATTTTATGATGCTCTTTCTGACATGGGCGTACCGGAAGGAAAAAATTAGGGGGGCGGAAAGAAAATTGCCCGACTTTTCGTGATTCTGCCCGACTAGTACCAAAAATTTTTTTCCGGAAAAATTATTTTGGCGACCTCCCACAACCAATTCTTTCGGAACATAACACAAATTTTCGTAAAATCACAAAATTTGCAAAAAAATTGACTTGATTTTAGACAAAATTTACAGAATTTGTCCCATTTTTTTTTATTGCAAACAAAAATTGCTCGACTGTTGATCGAATATTGCCCGACTGCCCAAAAAACTGGGGGGCTACCGCCCCCGCCCGGTACGCCTATGACTCTTTCAAGCTTCACAGCTTTTTGTCTAGACTTGTCTATATCAAAATTTTGTTTATTAGGTAACAGGTCCATTCTGCTCTCCTTTCTCCACTTTTAAAAGCAAAGTTATTTTTCCTCAAACTGGGCTACTTTATAGCCTGGTTCTTTTCGAAAACAACGTACTATTTCGTAAAACCGATTTAGTTATTTACCATCTTAGATCTTGAAGGTATCTTGTTGAAGAATGAAAGTAGTAATACATTATAATTTGGTTAGAGAGCTTAGTTCTGTTGCCTACCTAATCAATATGCACTGGTTAATTTGGATGACTTTTTCTGTGTTGTCTATTTGTGTAGTCTATATCACCAGAAAGATTTTAAACTGCAAATCGTAACGATTTCATGATTTGGAATTTTTAAATTCATTATAGCCAATGTAACAATACTCATTTTAGTTCGTATCACGTTTAGACAGAATTTCGAATTTTTACTACTCCTGCAGTCCATTCTAGTGAACGTTTGTAGAAATTACGATTAATAAAACAATTAAACAAATACTAGGTAACCCCAGTCTGTGTTTTCAGTATTCTCATAAACATGCCGAAATGGAGTATACTCAAGTATACACATCACATGAGCCGGTCAAATACAAACCAAAATCCGGTCCGCTCACGAGCATGCTCATACAAACCAAATTAAAATCCAGTATACAGGGGCGTCACCAATCTCGTACCCAGAGCAATGCCGGTGCGCTGGCTAGGATGGCATTGGCTCTGGGGAAATTGAATTTTTCCAGTGCTGTGATTGGTTTAACGTTTGTCAATCGTGCATGCCGACAAAGAACCGGAACCCCTAAATTTAGGCGTTCTGGTTGTCAATTTCCCCAGAGCCAATGCCTTCCTAGCCCGCGCACAGGCATTGCTCTGGGCACGAGATTGGGGGCGTCGCTTGAACAAAGAACTCTTTGAATGGAGGGTGTAAGTTAATTTTGCCGAGTTATCAAGGCAAATTTTGTCGCGTCACTACAATCGCTAATTAATATTTCTTTCCTTGGCAAAAATATTTCCGGACATACAAAATTTTTCCCGACATATCGTAACTTTTAATTCCGAGCCACTCAAATATTTTCGCTGAGTACGAAAACAATTTTCCGATTCTAGCAGACATTTTCCGACTCTAGCAGACATTTGCCGAATTTATGATGAATAGGGGGTGTTACCCCCCCCCCACACACACACACACACCCTCTAGCTACGCCCCTGCCAGTGTACTCATGAGCATCGGTCATATGCAAACCAAAATATACGGTCTGCTCATGATCATGGTCATACATACACCAAAATCCAGTATGCTCATGAACATTGCTCACATGCTCATATACAAACCAAAATCCTGTATGCTCATGAGGATGCTAGTCATGCTACAGGAAATGGTAGTCGCCAACAACACGTACGTTTTTGTGGTCAATTTGTTGCCAAAGCCATCACGTAGCATGACTCAGCCACAATGGATACAATGCTTAAAGGTTAATAAGGTCTTAGCGATACAATAAACTTACTGATAGAGATCAAACAATACCATTATAAAAACAAAGAAGAAAACGGAAAAATAAACCGGCATTGTCTGAAAAACTTTATGGTCCTGCCCACCATGACGTAGACTTGCCACAAGTCGACCATGGGGAGGGAGGGCGCGGGGGAGGGAACGTGCGACCCGAGCGACGAAGTCGCGAGTGGTCGACTTGTGTCCCTTGCAGGAATTTAAATCGCATTAAAAATTTTGGCGCGAATAATTTTGACATAAAAGGGGTGTGTACAAACTGTACATTTGATGCAATTACTTTACTGCGCTGACAATGGGTCTACAAAAACACAAAAACATTCTCAAGAATTGATATATTTCTTTGTCGTCGAATGAAACAGTTTGCACCAAGTGTGGAAACGAAATAACTGACCCAAGTATTAAGCGCCGAAAGCTGTTCAATGACAATATATCAACAAAAACAAGCGTGCATGTAATAACGTATTGAATCTGGACAGTTGTTTGTCTAACAATGTGCCGTAATTGTGTCGACAAGAATAGTAATTTATTAGACTTATTATAGAAAGTTGATTCAGTTCGCCAGCGATTTAACGTAGTAGAAGTTAATCTAATTGAAAAGAATCAGACAAATGTACGTAACCAAGAAGCAGAGCCAGAGGCGGCGATTGTGATCAACAAGAAGACGTCGCTAGAGTTCAAAATCCAGTAAAAATACACGTTGTTTTCTCAGCAAACGAATTTGTAATAATCAGTAATCGAGATCAAGAAACCCAAACTAAACCTGAAACTAGTGAGGAAATTTTAGAATCATCAGATGCATCTTCGGTGGCAGTATTAAAGTTTATTTCTACACCCTGTACTTTATACTCAATGTAATGTTTGTTTGTGTATTTTCACATGGTTTTTGTGTTCTACAAAATTGTAATTACATTGTTTACTCTGTTTGCTTCAATAATACACATTTGTTCAACAAAAAGCCTGAGAATATAATGTTATTTTTAGACTCCTTCGATAATGACCGATAAACATTAACCGCTTCGGCAAATCGGCAATGTAAACAATGACGTCACCGGTGGATTTTTCCACCGGTGATATTTGGCGCGCTGCAAGCATTGAACTATAAATAAACTGGAAGGCTAACTGCTATGATGAAGGCCTATGATTTGATGAAGCCAAAATAGTTTTTCTGAGTTATGAGCAGAAATACTTGACTCCAAACGTCGGGCTATATATCAAATTGAAGCTATTGAAAATTGCTATTCGGTGTGGAAATTTCAAGACTTCAGCGAAAAGAAAAATCTTTAAAAAATACAAAAACAACTGCAAAACTGCAAATTATCGGTAATTATGTTTGTAGTTTTTCAATATTTCCCTTTTCGCTAAAGTCTTGAAATTTTTACACCAAATAGAGTTTTTCAATAGCTTCAATTTGATATATAGCCCAACGTTCAGTGTTGAGTATTTCTGCTCATAACTCAGAAAAACTAAAATGCACTGGCTTCAATTTCCCCCCCTGAGTTAGCCTTCCAGTTTATTTATAGTTCAATGGCTGCAAGCAGTGAACTCTAATAATAACTGGAAGGCTAACTCCTATGATCAAAGTCTATAATTCGTTGAAGCCGGCGCGCGGGAAAATCAGCTTTCAAAAAGACTAAGGAGAGTTTCGAGGAGTGAAAAAAATTCTGCCAAAAGTTTGTTTTCGTGCAAAAATTTGCAAGAAAAACACTTTTTCCATGGGAATACAACAATGATTGGGATTTAAACCAGGTTTTCCGATTAGTTCCAACTGTTTTACATCTCTCTGCAGCAAAAAGTAAGCAGTTTTGCTTTTGTATTTTGAAAAAATGACGAAAGTTTGGACGTGCCGAAGGAAATCTCGCCGTTCAACTCAAAAATATATACTATAAAACATTTTGACAGTCCCAAAACTTATGTTGTACTAAACCCCAGGTATTGTTATTGATCCTGAGCTTTTAGTCCTTGTTTTAGTCGCTCTTAAACATAAATAAATTGGCGTTTTTCAAGTGATGTTATTTTCGTCATCGGCATTTTGTTGGCCACTATGAGCACTTTGAATATGGCAATATTTTTGTCAATTTTCAAATGCTTTTTTTTCGACCTTAAAACGTTAAATCTTCTTGAAACTTCGCATACAGATGTATTTTGCATGGGTATAAAAAATTCCTGAGGTGTGACGTCTTAGTTTTATCTTAAACTTCCAAAAACTCAGAAAAAGCAGCCTAAAACGCGCGGTTTTTCGGACCGTTCATGCTTATGGTCGTGTTTTTTCGCATTTTTTTGCTAATTCGTGATATGTTTGCTTTGCGAATATTAAATTCATTTATAATACTACTGATATAAATTAAATTTGGTAGTATAACTAATATTTTGGGGCAAGATTTTTCTGATCAAAAAATGTGCATATTTTGAAAAAAAAATTTAAAAAGGACTGGGTCTACCTACAAAAAAGCTTCAAGCACGGCTTCAACTTCCCCCCCTGACTTAGCCTTCCAGTTATTATTAGAGTTCACTGGCTGCAAGTGACAAAAGTCCTTTCCACAGAGGAGTGGTGAAGGCTATTTCAGATACGGTAGAGCACCTAGTCCCCAGGCCTTTACCAGCGCGACCGCGAAATTCAATATGGCGCCAAGCTAAGGAGTGGAGTTTAAATGGAGTTTATATTCTATATTTTCTATTGTTGTTTTTTGATCTTTTTATTCTTTTTGGTTGGTAGAACTTATATTCTGAAATGCCAGGTATCTTACTCTTTATCTGAAAAAAGATTTTATGACAGAATTTTTCTCAAACATAGTTAAAGTTAATGTAAGTCTTATCTACTGAGTTGTTCATTTAACAATTAAATCAATTTAGACTATTTTACTCAAGTTGGCAAGCTACGATTAAATAATTACTTGGCTTGATGAAGATGATATTATTTAAGCAGGATAATACATGCCAATGTAGTCACAATGCATTGACAGCATTCTAATAGGTTGATTATTAGCAGTTTTAAAAAGTTAAACTGCCAGACGTACGATATTTTATCATATAATTGATATAAATTATAAAAAGTAAAGTGCTATAACTGAATAGTGGAACAATATTGCTTCCATTTTGACCACCACACTCACAATTACCTTATGAATGTAAGAATGCCATGTTCACATTGTGAAAAAATATTATGATTCTGGCAAACATACCAATTAACATGGGCAAATTTGTTTAAACAACATACACTGCAACAAATCATGATACAGACAAGCACATCCTGTATAAGAGGCTTGCTTAGATGTGTAACAAACATTATTCAACATCAAACAATTTATTTATTGTCACATAAAAGAACACATAATAGAGTAAAACCTTATATGAATATCATATCTGTAAAGAATTCATACATTCAAGTACTTCAGCAAGACATAAAAGAACACATAGTGGAGACAAACTTTATAATCAATCTCATGTTTTTCATTAACCAGGGATGGATCCAGCATGATCTGGTAGGGGAGAGTTGCTCTACTAGCTCTGCATGGTGCCGAGTTGTGTCGGTCATGTGTGCCGCCCACCCATCAACCTGTTTCACTACTGCAAAGTCTTGCTTGACTACTGTATTTGAATTGTAATTGTTGTTCACAGTTCGCTTATCATCATGTTATTACTCAAATTACTGTATCTTAATGTGCCTCTAATAATTTTTTGCTTTATCATGAAAAATAGCACACCCCCCCTGGCCAGGGCTAGGGGGGGTGCACCCCCCAGTAAATCCATCCCTGTCCTTAATGGTGAAGGCTATTTCAGATACGGTAGAGCACCTAATCCCCAGGCATTTACCAGCGCAACCGCGAAATTTAATATGGCGCCAAGCTAAGGAGTGGAGTTTAAATGAAGCTAATATTCTATAATTTCTATTGTTATTTTTTTATCTTTTTATTCTTTTTGGTTGGTAGAACTTATATTGTGAAATGCCAGGTATCTTACTCTTTATCTGATTAATCTGAAAAAAGATTTTATGACAGAATTTTTCTCAAGCACTGTTTAATATAAAAGACTAAAAGTTTATGATGTATATTAATATCTATATGTTTCAGTGAATTATGCTTTAAAAGTAAAAAATAGATTGGCCAAGATAAGAAATTTTTGACACTGAACTTTTGTTAATTATAGTTTCAACATCAATTTTGAAAATTGTAATAACAGCCTAGTTTATATTCCATAATCCACAGAGCTTGAACATCCATGCGGAATGTACAAATTATTGACTTTTCGAGTGAAGTTCTGTTTGAATTTTTCAGGTACTAAGTTCTATCTCTCAAAATCGACAGTTATCTTGTTATCGTCTCTATCTAGCCTGGCACAGACCGTTCAAGATTGCACTGTTTAATTAGCACCAACACTAACAGTCATGGTGGCAGGGATGGATCCAGCATGATCTGGTGGGGGGGGGGGTTGATCTGCCAGCTCTAATGTCGAGTTATGTTTGTCATGCATGCCACCCGCCCATCCACTTACAAGTCAAGTCTTGCTTGACTACTGTATTTGAATTGTAATTGTTGTTCACAGTTCGCTTCTTATCATGTTATCGATATCACTCAAATTACTGTATCTCATTTTGTCTCTAAAATATTTTTTTTGCTTTATCATGAAAAATAGCACTCCCCCTGACCAGGGCTAGGGGGGTGCACCCCCCCCAGTAAATCCAGCCCAGCATACAGTTGGATTTAGAGGGGGAGGGGAGGGGGTTGACAGAGGTACACACCCTTGGCCAACAGGGGAGTGTAAAAATCAAAAGGGGGGCCTTATCTGGGCAGGATGTTACAAGGCCATCGGAAGTAAATCAATATTGGGGGGACTCAAGAATATATCTGAATAAATTTTAATTGCTTTTGCACTTTTCTAGTTATTTTGTGTGTTTTGCTTATACAAATGGAAATTTTAGTAGGGGGGGGCTCAAGCCCCCCACTTCTGACGGCCTTGTGTTACATGTGACATTGCCAGCTGCCATTAATAGTTTGCAGAATTGTGAAAAATAAATCAGTGCTGTAGATTGCAAGTGGTAATGCACTTTCTCCATTGGCATTATAGACATAATACACATAAAATTCCACAAGACCAATTAACTTGGTAACCCTGAGTATTCCATACTCGTTGGGAAATCAGTCAGATGCAATTGTACCCACCCTCCGGTCAACCCTTGCCACTAGACGTTTCTGTACCTTTGCCCTGCATATCATGGTTTATGAACTCAAAATTTTATGATTGAATTAGCTGTTCTACTATGATATTTTATGCTCAAGTAAATAGAAAGTAGTACAGCAAGCCGGTTAGAATAATGGTCAGATGTTCACTCCTCAGTGGCATAACTCCTAAGGGCTGTGCCCGGCAGAAGCTAGGGGCCCAGGGGGTGTGCCTAATTGTCAAGGAAGGTCCCTGGGCTACCTTTATGCGGTGTTTGGAAATTTTAATTTAAATAATTAATTTAATTAATAAATTAAATTAATAATTAATTAATTAAATTAATAATAATTATTATAAATAAATTAATAATAAATAATAATAATAATTATTGATTAATATTATTTAATTATTTATTTAATTCATTAATATTTTTAAAAATTTTTTTAGCTTAAAAGCTCTCCCCGTTAACACTCTGAACAGTAGGTCAAGGTAGGGCCGGAGATACGGGGGTGGGGGGGGTGTGACACCCCCAGAAATTGTATTCAGTTGGCAGGACTGCTATTTGGGTTAAATATTTTCGTGCAAAGGGCTCTTTATTTGTGTTTTTTGGGTAAATTTCCGAATTTTGGTATGAAAAATTGAGGTAAAGTCACTGGAAAGCATTTGCAACGTGGAGGGGGGGAGGAGGGGGGAGGCTGTTGGTCTCTGAAAAAAAATTCTCGTCTGGGCTCCTGTCAACCTCTCGGCGGCCCTGTTCGTCAATCGGTTGAAATGACCTTACACCCCCCTGAAGAATTCCCTGAGGACAGCCCTGGGTCAAGGGGGCCCTTCACGGGGAGCACTGAGACTTCATCCTTAAATACCCATAATTAAGATTCTGGGAAATGAGTACCCATTGGCATATGCCTCTAGTGTCTAATAGAATGTGAATTTCAAGTTGTAAAATAAACGGAAAGTGCTATTTTTGCAGGGTATATCCTTGACCCAAAAAATAGATTGATTATGTGATCAGCTTTAACTTCTTAAAAACAACTTAAAATCTAACTTTACCTAGAAATAGTTAAATACTTTGCATTCTATGGAATACAAAGCTCATTTGTAGCTTACTGTTTGCAATGAGTAAAATTAATATTGTATTATGTAATGTAATCTTCAAAAATTATGAAGGGCCTTAGAACTCCTCTCCCAACTAAAGAAACACAGTTTAAAGGGGATGGCTTAGTTCAAATTGCACTCTACTGTTAATGACAGGGATGGATTTACTGGGGGGTGGGGGTGCACCCCCCCCCCCTAGCCCTGACCAGAGGGGGTGCTATTTTTCATGATAAAGCAAAAAATTATTAGAGGCACATTAAGATACAGTAATTTGAGTAATAACATGATGATAAGCGAACTGTGAACAACAATTACAATTCAAATACAGTAGTCAAGCAAGATTTTGCAGTAGTGAAGCAGGTTGATGGGTGGGCGGCACACATGACCGACACAACTCGGCACCTGAGAGCTGGTAGAGCACCCCCCCCCTACCAGATCATGCTGGATCCATCCCTGGTTAATGACAAACATGAGATTGATCATAAAGTTTGTCTCCACTATGTGTTCTTTTATGTCTTGCTGAAGTACTTGAATGTCTGAATTCTTTACAGATATGATATTCATATAAGGTTTTACTCTATTATGTGTTCTTTTATGTGACAATAACTAAATTGTTTGATGTTGAATAATGTTTGTTACACATCTTATACAGAATGTGCTTGTCTGTATCATGATTTGTTGCAGTGTACGTTGTTTAAACAAATTTGCCCATGTTAATTGGTATGTTTGCCAGAATCATAATATTTTTTCACAATGTGAACATGGCATTCTTACATTCATAAGGTAATTGTGAGTGTGGTGGTCAAAATGGAAGCAATATTGTTCCACTATTCAGTTATAGCACTTTACTTTTTATAATTTATATCAATTATATGATAAAATATCGTACGTCTGGCAGTTTAACTTTTTAAAACTGCTAATAATCAACCTATTAGAATGCTGTCAATGCATTGTGACTACATTGGCATGTATTATCCTGCTTAAATAATATCATCTTCATCAAGCCAAGTAATTATTTAATCGTAGCTTGCCAACTTGAGTAAAATAGTCTAAATTGATTTAATTGTTAAATGAACAACTCAGTAGATAAGACTTATTTATTTATTTATTTATTTATAATTATATTTATCCAGGATACCCACATCACTAATGTGTTTTTCAGTGGGGTCCTGTATTACATATTACTTACATTAACCTTAACTATGTTTGAGAAAAATTCTGCCATAAAATCTTTTTTCAGATAAAGAGTAAGATACCTGGCATTTCAGAATATAAGTTCTACCAACCAAAAAGAATAAAAAGATAAAAAACAACAATAGAAATTATAGAATATAAACTCCATTTAAACTCCACTCCTTAGCTTGGCGCCATATTGAATTTCGCGGTCGCGCTGGTAAAGGCCTGGGGACTAGGTGCTCTACCGTATCTGAAATAGCCTTCACCACATATGCCTGCGGTATGCCTGCGACTGTATCATTATGCCTCTACTTGCCGCCGAAATACCGGCAAAGTTGAACTCAAGTCAACTTTCCCGGCCTACCGCCGATGTAACTGTGGCACTGGAGGCAATCGGTGAACAAATATTCACATAATTCACGTTTTAAGCTACCATCGGCATCGTCGCCGGTACGTCGCAGGCATATATGTGAACCAGGCTTAAGGGGCGGGATTACAGTTGTATTTATAGAAATGTGTCAGATAAACAAGAAAGGCTGTTATTTTCAAAACGGAAAGCCCATTTCGCCAAACAGAAGATGTATTAATATTATAAACGAAATCAAATTTAAGGGAGGCAATTGAGATAAAGATATTTTCATGGGAGTTTTGTTGATGTAGCAAATACGGTTTAAAGTCTCTTAATGCGACAGTTTCAAAATTGTGGAGGCAATACTGCGAATCGAAATTATATAAACCGTTTGAAGCTTCTAAAAGCGCAAATATCTCGATAAACAAAGAAGGTTGAGAAATTATAATTTATATTTTCCAAGTAACTGACCACAGTGTATTGTCTACGTGCATGCATCGGGTTCGTTGACCCTGTGTTTATCGAGATATTTGAGCTTTTAGAGGCTTCAAACGGTTATATTTTCGATACAGAAATGTTTCTAATATATTTTCCTTTAATATCATGAACGATTGGACATATTACTGAGGAAAAAATATTCGAAATAGCGGCAATTGTGAGAGGGTCTCTGGCTTGTTTACATGTTTCGAGGCGAAATTCAAAATCGAACGTTCGTTGTATTGCCTCAACAATTTTGAGTCATTGAGACTGTCGCATTAGAGACTTCAAACTTATTCGCTGCATCAACAAAACTCCCATGAAAATACATGTATCTTTATTGCCTACCTTAAATTTGATTTCGTTTGTAATATTACAGTCGATTTCACAAAACTTTGACCGCAAATGTTTCAAAATTCGTTGCGAAGTTTGCAAGTTCGTTGCGAAGTTCAAAAGTTCATAATGAGATTCACAAACAGTTTGTAAACTACGCATTTGATTGGCTTCTTTTACTTCAGGGACCAATCAGGAACTTTGTTTACATATAATACAAGTCTATAAAGTCAAATAATTCCAATAGTATAGAGGATGAGATTTCACCCGCAGTATGGTACGATTTTAAAAAATTAAATGATAAAAAAGTAACTACCGAAAATTCCAGAAACGAGACTCAATTTGTCAGAGATTACCGACTTTGGGCAGCTAAATCTGGTAATACTCTAGATGCACCGATTTCAGTAAATGGAAGTTTGCGCGTCAGCAAAGAAGCTTAAGAACAAAAAGAGTAGTGCTGGAGACGTAATAAGCAATGAAATTATTAAAATTGCCGTGGAAGATCATGCTACTAACTTTGTTAAACTTTTTAATCATGTTTTATTTCATGGAAATTTTCCTCACATGTGGTCGGAAGGGTATATTGTCCCTCTTTATAAATCAGGTTGTCGTTCTGATCCTGGAAACTACAGGGGAATATGTATCAGCAGTTGTTTAGGGAAATTTTTTACCTCAATTCTTAACTATCGTCTTAATACCTTCTTGGAAGAACACCAAATCTTGAATAAGAATCAAATTGGTTTTAGGTACGGATTTAGAACGTCCGATCATATACTTGTGCTAAAAACATTAATAGATTTCTATAAAAAACATAAGAAACCATTATTCGCTTGTTTTATAGACTTTCGTAAGGCATATGATAGTGTATGGCGAGAGGGTTTATTCTTCAAGCTTATCCAATATGGTTGTAGTAAGAATTTTGTACGTATATTACTAAGTATGTACTCTTCAGTTAATTATAAGGTCAAACTTTCTTCGGGAAGTACTCCGGTATTTTCGTCAAACGTTGGTTTAAAACAGGGTTGCAACATGAGTCCATTATTATTTAATGTCTTTATCAACGATATACCTGAATTACTAAATACTACAAATTGTGATCCGGTGTATCTAGGTACTACTAAGGTAAATTGTTTACTTTATGCTGATGATTTGGTTTTATTATCGAAGTCTCGGTCAAGTTTACAGGAAAGTCTTGCGAAACTGCAAAGTTATGTAGAAAGGTGGAAGTTAGAGATCAATTTAAAAAAGTCTAAGGTTCTAGTTTTTGGTAGTAAATCTCAAAGAAGCTTATATACCACCTCCAAGTGGTGTCTCGGCGGAGAATTGTTAGAATGTGTTGATGAATATGTCTACCTATAGTTCTAAATCTGTCCACAGGTTTGATTCCCACCGTGGACAGGCGTATTTTTCAAGCTTGCCCGGTGTGGATATACACTTATCATGATATTTTCTGTGTTGATGCAATGCACTCAGGTGAATATGATGCTTGTGATGTTACACTGAGTGTATATCCACCCCGAGCAAGCTTGAAAAATATGCCTGTCCATGGTGGGAATCAAACCTATGACCTTTGGAATACTAGCCCAATGCTCTGCCAACTGAGCTATGCGATCAGGCCGGTTCGAGCAAAGTCCTTAACTGTGGTTCGAGTATGTGATATTTCAGAACAGAATCTAGTTCTAAATCTGTCCACAGGTTTGATTCCCACCGTGGACAGGCGTATTCTTCAAGCTTGCCCGGTGTGGATATACACCCATCATGATATTTTCTGTGTTGATGCAATGTACTCAGGTGAATATATGCTTGTGATGTTACTCTGAGTCTCAGAGTAACATCACAAGCATATATTCACCTGTGTACATTGGATCAACACAGAAAATATAATGACTACTAAATTACATTGGTATCAAAGGAACTAGATTCTGTTCCGAAATATCACATACTCGAACCGACCTGACCACGTAGCTCAGTTGGCAGAGCATTGGGTTAGTATTCCAAAGCTCGTAGGTTCGATTCCCGCCATGGACAGGCATATTTTTCAAGTTTTCCCGGTGTGGATATACACTAGCCCTAAGTAACATCACAAGCATCTTCTTTATAGCAAATATTTAACAGAAAATTACAACATACAAATGCATATCACACAAATAAGCTATACGATTTTCTTAACAACACATATACGTGGAGACTGTAAATTAGACTTATAGACTTCTGCTAATAGAAATTAATCGAAAATTTACAACTGAACGTCCAGATGCCTTCAGTGAATCGGCGGCGA